CCTGACAGCATTCGAGGCTTTGACCCAGAGCCAAACTTTTATGCTCCTGTTTGCCATGATGCGTTTCACATAATGACATGCAGCGACAGCCCACTGCCATTTAATATCACTGCTTTGAGATTATTATTCTCCTCTAATGCTTTTTTTCTTTCTGAAAGATTGTGTGTTGTGTTGTTTCGGGAATTTTTTTTTGTGGGTTTTTTTGTTTGGTGGTTTTTTTTTGCCATTTGCAATAGCTTTCTTTTGCCAAGCCAGAACAGACTGGGCAACTCGTTAGGCCATTTTGTGGTTGTTTGTTCTGGGGGACACGAGATAATTGTTAATGCAAACACCACTGAATAAACAAACAGAAGCCCCAGAAAATTTATTCAGTTAATAGTGCCTTCTGGATCACTGACTATGGAAAAATTGTTGTTTATAGAGTGAATCATTAATTTGGCTTGCATATTAAATAAACTTGCCACTAAAATAATAAATTATGACTGGCAGATAAATATCGTATTTTTTTTCACCAGGGTAAAATGAATGAAACATTAAAAACCATGTTAGTTGCTAATTGCCAACTTCAATTCTTTTGAAGCATGAGCTTTGCTAAAACCTGGACATTTTGTTAAAAAGCTTTGTCAGGTAATTATTTTCCTCCCTGCCAAAGAACTGCACAGGTTTGCTGATTCCAAAGTTCATCTCAGTTTTTGTACTATCAGGTAGATTGAGGTACACACAGCTTAGGGTCCTCCAGCCTCTTGAGCATCCTTCTTCTAACATTAATTTATTAAAACTATAATTCTGTGCAGTGGATCTACAGATCCCCTTTCATGTATTGAACTTTATGAGGAGGTGTGAGGAAGTGCTTGAATCTAGAGACTGTCTGTTGCCAGCTCAATGAGAAATTTTTCAGCAAATGAGTCCAATATGTAAATTACTAAAAATCATTATGTTAACTGGACATAAGTAACTCAGTGGTCAAACAAAATATAATTCAACTGTGCCAGAAAGCAATAACTGAATGAGAGTTTATTAATCTGCAGTTACTCAACTGCTCCTTTGATTTACTGTGGTGTTTGCATGCCTCTGACCACTCTCCAGTACCCAACACCTTGTGGCAAACTGGTGGAATGAATTTGGATTTGAAGTAATGCTTCTCTTTTTCCAAAAATATTTTTATTTCCTGTAAAGCAAAATTAATAGCTATGCTATATGTAAGGATAATGTCTAAATCTATTTTCCCTATTTATATTAGAGAAGGTTTGGGGTTTAGTTTTAATGATTGATAAAAAGGCCTTGCAGAGTGACAAATGTATGGTTGTTTATTTTCCTAACACTCACAAAAGTGATAAATATGGTTTTCTTCAGACATTTTTACAATGAAGAGCCCAAAATATTTTGGCAAGAATAGAGGCAGAAGGACTTCAAAAGGCAAACATTACTAGTAGACTATTATCATAAGTAGTTGCTGATCTGTGATTTCTGCCTTTGAAATAGGATTTTAGTCTCCTTCCCCATTCGCAGTTCAGACATTTCTCAGACAATAAGAATTTGTGATTTTTCTCCATCAAGTAAGACTTGTACAAGTGATATGCAGTGATATCATATGCTAAATAAAATTTCATTTGATAATGCATTATTTCTGCTTACATTTGTTATTTGTACATACAGTATTGTTTTCTTGCTTTGCATTAGTGACCTTGAGAATGAATTGTTTCATACTATCAGAAGTATTTAATTTGGCTTGTGGTATTTCCTACACTTCCCAAAGTATCTCTTCTTGATGTTGTGCACACAAGAAATTTTCTTTTTGTTTGCTATCTTATTTCATTATTGTATACTGGAATATTCAATCACTGAAGTACTTTGTGAAATTACATCTATTATACCACTGGAATATGACCTGATTTATTATAAGAAGATCAGAGCATAGCTCAAGTGCTCAGTGCATTATCCTAGATGATGCTCTGTCTCTGAGGGCTGCCATAGCCCTCATCTTTGCTGTTATATTTTAGCCATTGATTTCTCTTTAGAACACAAATGTCATAAAAATACTGCTTGGTAATGTTTCTTCAGTATTGAATAACCTCTTTTTCTGCCAAGGAGGTGTCAAAGTCTCTTCCCCACCTGTCTGTCACACTCAGTTCCTTTTACGTGCATCAGCAGAGGTCAGCTAAATAGGTCTGATAACTCAGTTTTGGGGGAGATGCAGATTGCAAGACAAGTGGAAAGGAGGGCAGGTAACTGTTCAAAGCTTGCTTGTTTATGTATCTTTGATTGCAGCGGTTCCCAGCCCCTCTGGAGAGAGGCACACTGCTTTTGGAGCCTTTGTTTCTCTTTGAGTGGTACGTGCTGTTCGTGCCTCCCTCTGTGCCTGCAAACCAGGTTCTCTCCTGGAGCTGTCCCCTTCCTCACCTCCTCAATTCAAAGCCACAGGCTGCTCCTTTCTCACATTCTGAAGCACAGTTTGTCCCAGAGCAACCTAATGGTGGGGAGGGGCAAAAAAAAAAAAATTATCTAGGCTGAAAGAAACTCCTGTGAGAGCTAGAAAGTTGCTCAGGTGAAAGTGGCTGTGATTTGGAGATGGGGTTGCAGGGATTAGCCAGAAGCTTATCACGGATCTCTGTAAGCAATGGGTTTCACAGTTTATCGTTTTACAATATTTTTTTTCAATTACTTAGGTTTATATTTTCTGCCTTTTTTCATGTGTTACAGGAGGAGATGATTAGTAATCATTGGGGCTTTTACCAGCATAAGATATAACATTTCTGCATGATGCATGATATGTATTCCTGTAATTTAATTATCTAGAGTGTTTATTTGGGGTATAAATGCTGGAAACAATGACATTTCTGAGATTATTTATTAGGTACTGCACTTTGTAATCAAACCTTCTGTGTGCTGTTTGTAAAACATCAAGTGTTATAAAATTGCTGATAGTTGGAAAAAGAACATTGATAATGGGCTGACATTCTCTGTGCAGCTGCAGATGAGAATCAGTAGGAAATAGAGGGGAGCAGAAGCTGTGGCAGCTGTATTGCAAAGATTAGTTACTGAGATGTTGCCTGCCTGAGAAAGACAAACTCTCTGCAAGGAATTTTTTTTTGCGATGAGAATTATGTAGCTCCAGCTTTACATTTTAGACAGTATTTTATTAGTAAGAATTCTTTTTTTCTCTGTGATAATATGAATATTTCTGAATTAAGTAAATAAATGCATTATACCTAAAAAACAATAATAAAAAAGTAGTCATACTGAGTTATAGAAATGAACAGGGTTAGACAAGGTTTAGATCAAAGAGTAGCCAAAAGAGAATGAAAATGGAGTTGTCATTGACTGTGGAACCAAAGTTACCCAAACTTTTAAGAACTTTTATTAAAAAAGCAGAACATAACACAAGAGAATAAACTTTTGACTGCAGTAGGAATTAGTGACCTGCCATGAACAGGGCCCAAGAAAGGAGAGCACTGTGCATTACTTCAGTTTATGTTTCAAAGATGCTCTTATAGTTCCAGAAGGCTAAGAAGTCCTCAGAATATTTGGCTAAGGTGAGTGAAGTCTCTTTTTGACTTAAGTTTATTTGGCTGAAAAAAGAGTTCATAAAGATTATAAGGAAACAAACTTTGTAACACAATGACTGACCCACCAGGGAGGAGATCTTTGAAACCGTAATAGTGACCTTGGTTTTATGAGCGTTTTTGATAGGAGGATTACAGATACAGTTCGTTATTGGATCTTGCTGCTCGTGTAAAGGTGATAAGGAAGGAATGATGATGGGTCGTTTTTAAATTTCTGAATTGTAACCTAGCCAATCTAGGCTATCTCTGCTAGAAATTAGTCTAGAGAACAGGCTGTGAACCAGGCAGAGCCCAATAAATAGAGAACATTAACCTCATATGTGTGCTATTCAATCAAACTGCATTCAGGCAGGCAAAATAAATCAAGAGACTTTATGAAAATATTTTACTATTATTAAGAGGTTTAATTGTAACTATTGGGGTTTAAACTTTTGTACTATGTGAGGAATTCTGAATTTTACTTTAAAGTTAGGCTAAGGGTGCAAATTTTGTGTTGGAACTTTGTGTACTATACCTATACAAGTAATGGCAAGCACATTAATAATGCAAAATAGCAATAGAATACTTGGTGGAGAGAATTTTATTACAGGATTTTTTTTTTCCAGGCATTGAATGAAACAGCTGTTTTGCCCAGGACTGTTTTGTGTATCCTGAAAATGTTACTGACTGATGCATGAGTGTTTCTGCTGCTGCCCCAGCAGCAGGACACTGTTGGTAGCCTCTGCTAACACTCTGTTCCAGTGGCTTTATCACATAAATAAATGAATGCATAAGTGTGCTATGGATACACTTTAAGTAAAGGCCAGGCAAAGTAATAATCGCAGGATTTGGTGTGACATTTTGCCAGCTCTCACATGTAGTCCTGACTTCTCTAACATTTGTTTTTCAAGTCATAAATATTTCTGGAAAGTAAGCACTCTTTTGAGTGACAGTGACTTCTGTGGAGAGATTAGGTACATTAATAAAATATGAGATAAAAGATACTGGTGAGTGATGGTTTTTAATTAGGGGAGAAAAGGGAAAAAAAGGCATTTTTAAAAGAGGGTGTGTTCTGAAGAGCCACACTCAATTGCCTCTATTTTTGTTACTTTTGAGTATACTCCTACTTAAGAAACAAAAATTGGAAAACCTAAAAGGAAAGACATTTACACTTGCAATAAAACAAGTATGTTTCAATGTCCTGTGAGAGGGAGGAGGTGTTGGGAACACAATCATTCCTTTGATTATATTCAATGAAACCAGGTTGTGTACTTTATAAGAACAGAAACAACTTCTAACATCTTCCTAATCCTGTTGCAACTTTGATCATTTCTCCTTTTAAGCAGTGGCTATAACTGGACCTAGCAAAGAGAAGTGCAGTGGTTCATCTCAAACAGATAACTTTTATGTGTTCCTATACCTTTTTTCATTCTAATGAAGTCTTTCTCTCCATTTTAGACAAATATCACTTGCTGTGTCATAGCACATGGATTTCAGGACTGCCTGTGAAGAGGTAGGATCAGTTTTTTTTCAACTAGTAGAATGAAAATCAATGAACTTTTAATCCTTTTTATATACAAGATACTTTTCTTTTCCCCCTTTTCTTCCCCTGAAGTTTTAGGAATTACATAGTCAAATATAAGTTATTCAGCTGATCATTTCATGGTGGCAGATGGACTTTGTAGTAGAAGATGAAAGAATTTGCGCAAGTGTATTCATCTCTAGACCTCACCTCTGTTCCCATTTACCTCTTTAGGCACAATGTAGGTGCAGGCAGCTACATTTTGTGTGAGCTTTGCTCTTCTTGAAATTGTTTATATCTGAAAGCCTGTACATGAAGAGAAATGTCAGTGGGACAAGGAATCTGCCTGGTGTTGCGCAGCAGAATCAAGGGGGAAATGTAGAAATATGGGAGAAAAGTGGGTAGGGAGAACGGAAGCTATGAAGGTGACCAAAATGAAAAACAATTCCATTCAGATTTAGTGAGGTAAGAGAGCAATTTTTGCCTAGAATCGGTTTCATAATGTCAATGCAAAGTACTTCAGTCGCTCTCTACTAGAGATGAGGAAAATGCTTTCTGTGTTTATAATAATTTTCCTTAAAGAAAGCAAATAAAATGTATTTGTAGACATTAGCAAGGGCATCTTATTTACTCAGTGATTGTCTATGTACAATTGTTTTAATGTGATTTTAACAACTTCAGCAATTGAGACACAGTGAGAACCATTTACAGCAAATTATGTAATGATTTTAACGCATTATTATAATTTAAAAATCATGACAATTACCTGCACACTGAAAACCACAAACACCATTTAGGAAGGTAGGACTGGAAACAAGAAAACTGGCTAGAACTTTAGGTGTGACCGTGATCCCATGAAAAAAAAAAAAGTGAGGGGATTGGAACAGCACTAAAATCAAGAGTTAACTGCAGATATAACCAATTGTGACTTGAGAATCAGTTGGAATAAATTAGGGGAGAAGAGAAAAAAAGCAGAATAAACAACACTAAATCATAACAGCATTCTGGAGCAAGTAGTAGGGTAAAAAAGTAATATTAAAATGAGCCCTGCCTTTGGGAAAGAATACTGTGATGTTTTTCCAGGATGTTGTTTATCAGGCTTTAATACCTCAGAAGATGCATGCATGGTGTAAGTTCTCTAGCAGTATATCCCAGATTATTTGGAAGAAAACATTCTTACTAAACTTGAGGTTTGGCTTTTCAAATAGTGTTTTCAGTTGGAGGGAGCCTGCAATGATCATGTATTCCCATTTCCTAAGTGCTTCATGGCTGCCCAAGAGATAAAGAATGTTATTAGGGAATTTTTGTATTATTAGTGTTATTATTGTTATTTCTTTTTGAATGCACTTATTCAGAAACAGAGGAAGATGAGTATTATTTTCATTTTTTTATGTTGTAATTCTTTAAACTCTGTAGACTATTTAAACTCTGAATACTATTAACTTCACTCTGTGTGCAGCAGGCATAATGACAAGAGCAGCCACAGAAAGACAACTTGGCATAAGAGTCCTGTCTTAGCCTTGACAGTGCAAGTACACTGACAGATCTGTTTCATTCTGTATCTAGTTTCTAATGGGGGCATGGATATCAAATTTAGCTCTTTAAAAATCTGCTGATTTACAGACCTTCCATGGTAGACAGGGGAAGGAGAGCTTGATTCCATCCATCCAAAAAAACTCCATGATCTGGAGACTGCAAAGAAGAGTTACTGAGAAGTTTTTGATAATGGCAGTAAAAATTTTTGTGAAGCATCTTGGCTGTCTGACCTTCCTCTTCCCCTTTTTGTTTCCTTTCATCTGCATATCCTGGTGCTGTAGCCACTACACTGCAGAAGAGCTGAGATTGCTCACCCAAACTGGTGAATGCAGCTCAGATTCTTGTTGGTGCTTCCATCCTTAGTAATGACAGTAAATGGTTTGAGCAGGGTTTCAATTAGCACAAAACCAAAATTTGCCACATAGATGCACTGAAGCTAAAGCATGTTTTTCATGGTGTCCATGACATACTCAATTTTTTTCCTTAAATGACTTTTCATTCTTATTAACTGCTGCTCTAGTGCACTGGTGGTCTCTGAGGGAAATTTAGTTCTTTCATAGTGCTGATGCTTTCATGCATCCCTAATTTCTTTTAGTGTCTACTAGTGAGATTTGGTTTGAGACTTGACACTGAAATGGTCTTTTCTCCTTATAGGTACCTGCATGTGCACTTTGTGCCCAAGTTCCTGCAGCAGATCTGATTGGAGAAGTCAGGGTTATAATTATAATGAGAAGTTAAACACAGATATGTAGACAGGCAGAGTTTGTTTCCAATCTCAAAGTGATTTCTAGTATCCTCATGATTATTTTCTCCCCCAAACATCTTATCTTCAGGCTGTGCTGCCTTTCAAGGCATCTTAAAATAGTTTTAGTCTGCAGGAAAATAACTTCCATGCTAGGCAATTCAAATGGTACTACAAAAAGAGGACATCTTAAACACAAAACCACATTTTTAAAGAGAAACTACCTACTATCTGAAGAGGCGATTTTTTGTTTTTTGTGTGTGGTTTCTCTGCTTGCTACTTAGGCGAATTTTTTCACTATTTCATTATTCATTATTCAGTATTTCATGCTCTTTTCCCTCACTGATCAGCAAATATGTCCATTTTTTTGGTCCTTCTATTTAACAATTTCCTAACCATAAGACTATCCAGTTCCTCTTTTACCCTTTATCCCAAACTTTTTGAACTTTACAAGAGCATAAATCACAGAGTCACTGGGTTCTTAAAATGCTCTCCTGTACTCACTTGACCTTATTCTATATTCTGAAAACTATCTCTTGGAAGATAACCTCAGTCTCTGACATAATACTGTCCTCTGCAGTGAAAGTATCCTTCTGTTGAAATTGAACACTTGGGATGATTGTAATGCATTAGAACATCTTTCCCTGTGATTTTTTTTTTAAGTTCATCTTTTCCATGTACATTATGAACAAGCTTCATTAGCAGCTTTCTAACTATTTGAAATCTCATTCTTTGCTTTTAGTCGCTTGGCTTTCCTTCCCCCCCCTCCCCCCAGTATAGCATCAAACTTATTTAAGTTAATAAATACCCCATTCATTTCCCTGCTTACACTCTATTCATTTGTTTTCACAGTAGTGTCCATTGTTTCTTTGAAGGATTCATTTGAATTGGTAAACTGTTTTTCCTGTGCTTTATGAATTCTATAAATGTTCTTGCAGACTTCACAAGCTTTATAATTTGATATGTTCTGTTATTCAAACGTGTAGTGACCTCTATTTCAACATCCATCTAGTTGGGGTGGGGCTTTCCTGCAACAAAGCGTGTTTTAAATTTTAAGCCATATTTAACTTTCTTGTGAACTTCTTCCCTAAATATCATTATATACTTTTATGGTCTATTTCTAGTCACCTTTATGCCATTTTCTGATTCACACATTTCAGACTAAGCTGCTGTTTTCCTTTGTTTATAAATCCTGTTAAAGAGCAATACAGTGGGTTTCTGAGATTTTTCAAAAATGAAGCTTCAACTCATGATTTAACCTCAAAATCACATGATGGAAAATGACTCATAATTTACAATATCTGTTAGAATGCAATAGGTGAAGTAAATTTTAAGAAACATCCATGTTGTCACAAAAGGCTTCAGTTTTACATTACCTTACCTCTTGGGTTCTACTCCATAGTCACAGTAAGCTCATTGGCAACTCAGACTTCAAAATGGCATTTTACAGTGTCAGAAAAATAAAATTTTCTCTCTGAAAAAGTACCGTAGCTTAGTAAGAAGCTCATATATGTACATATTTATGTCAATATATATTTTTTTTCCAAATGTCTAATTTACATTTTATATTTCAGAAGGACTTTCTTTATAAGAATTAATTCTTTCAATAATATCACTTAGAAAGAATACTACAGCAAATACTTACCTGGCAAATACCTGATAAATGAAATTAAAAGAAGTTAAAGTCCAAATTCAGAATTTTTCTGCAATTCTTTCAGACTGGAGTGTGCAATTCATATGCAGGAATGGACTTGCTGTCCCTTGGATTGGAAAGTGTTGGTATCTGATTGAAGAGGCTCTGAATGACAAGCTGAACACATCCCTGTGTGTCTGGGCCGCATTCCAGTTTTTGACAATATAAGGGCTTTTCACTTAAGCTAGGAATACCTCCACAGAATGTGTAGCTGGACTGTTTAAAAAACATCCCATAAATGGTTCTGACACATATTCCTGCCTCTTGAATCCATTGCTATTACCTCCTTAAATCCAATGCCATTACCTCCTTAAACCTCTGATTCAATTTCCTTTTTTATTATTATACTTACGATTATGAAGCAGTGACAGGCATATCTCCAAATATTCAGAGGTCAGCCTCAGTTCAAATAAGCATCCAAAAGGGTAGATATTAATCTGAAGGAACTAGGTACACATTTAAGGCAGTTTTGTAACCCATTCTCCTTACTGCTATCATGTTCTTGATAGTAGAAATAAATTTCAAGGCTTAAAGCCAAATTGCAGAGGCTTACTTTCTTTTAGGACATAACAGTCAAAGTAGAAACTAAAAATCCAGGTCACCTTGCATAGAAAATGTGCTGAGTTGGTTTTTCCCCCCCCTCTTTCTTGCTTCCACTTTTTCATGGACTAAACTATTCTGGGATATTTGTTGAAGTCTTTCTGCTGATATGAAACTATGAAAAGCAAAGCTAAAGAAATTGTTTTATTACCGTAGGGCCAAATACATAGGAAAAGTAGCAGAAAGGGCAAGATATAGCCATGTCTTGAAAGCTACAAGTATTTAAAATCACCTGAAAGACCGAGAAACTCTCTTTGAGAACAAAACAGGAAATAAATGACAAGAAAAAAAAATGACAAGAAAAATAACCCAAAGACTTAAAAGGAGAAAAAAAAAATCAACAGAAAATCTGCGAACAGACTTGTATAGGCCAGATAAATTAAAAAAAATATTTATTTTGGAAGTTCTGCAGGAAGTTGA